ATAAACATTAAAAAACCAACACTTTGATGAATCATTGTTAAACAAACCAGCAGCAAAATGCAAATTATTTTCAATTTAACCAAAACAAAACAAAAATAGAGATCTCACAAAGAAAAGAAATAATCCAGCAACAATGATACTTGAGCTTCGAATAGAGAGAGTGAAAGAGAAGAACAGGTATGAAGACAAGAGACCATTTACCTAAGCTTCGATGAGATGAGCTAGTGAACTCGAGTGTGATGGGACGAATGATGAATCTCTGAACTCTGAAGCTGCTAACCGAGACGGAGGAAGCTCTAAACTCTAAAGTTGCCAATGCTAAATGGAGGAAGCTCGAAAAGATCAAGGGATAAAGAGCAAAGCCGGAGATGCGATCGAGAGAGAGGGATAGAGAGCGACACTAGAGATGCAATTGAGAGAAAGGGATAGAGAGTAGCGTCGGAATGCGATCGAGAGAGAGGGACAAAGAGTGGTGAGGAGGTTGAGAGGTGTGTAGCTGAGCAGCTGTGCAGACTGAGTAAGCACTACATCAGATCGAAAATGTGAGTGAGAGAATTGAGACTTAGGGCAGTTAGGGTTACAATATTTTCATTTTCCATTCATGCCCTCACCAATCTAACAAATTACATCATATATTATTATTTTTATTAAAAAAATATATATATATACCTTGGGTCGGGCAGGGTCAATTGGTTGGATACCTTAGCCTTAAACCCTGCCCAACTCAAATTTTGGGCTCAGCCTAACTATACCTAATCAATGTTGGGCATATTGTTTAGCGCTCGGGTCGGCCATATTTTACTTGAGTTGGGTCGGGCATTATGGGCACATGGGCATCTTGCACAGGCCTAGGTGGAAGTTGAGTAACACGTATGTTTTTAGCCACTAGCTTGTGAAAGCTCAATCTCAGCCGTTGACTAAATCTATTAGTTGAGAACAAGAGACCACAGGGTATAGCAATGATTGGTGCCATGCATGATCGAAAAAGTTCTTTATGTTGTTAGTTTGATGCAGTCTTTTAAACCAATAAATATTGATTATCCATTGCATCAAATGACATCCAAAACGTTGTCAAATGAGTATAAAATTTGCATTTCTTTTTCCTCATATTGTTAGATGGCTTTGATACATAAATAGACCTTTCCAATAACATAAGACATCTTTTAAACTCCATTGGTCCAAATATAAATTATTAGGTAGTTTATATAATTGTTTTTTTTAATTATACTTGTCACACCCCAAAAATTAGGTGTGACCGGCACAGGATATAGGCACAAAACTCATATCCCTTAAGCCATGATCGAAGAAACTCTGAAATTAATACGTTAAACACACTAATAGAATAATTAGAAATTGTTACAATATTAAATCAGATATTCAATTTTAAAAGAAATGTGAGGATCCTACTTGCAGTCTACATAGGGCACCTAAGGCTAGAGGCCAACGTAGGTATAAAGTTTAAATTTTTCATCAAATTAGGATTTGACTAAAATAATTCTTCTGCTTCAATTCAGCAATAAAACTCCTTAGTAGATATCTTGAGTCACAAGTTTAACTATACCATCTGAGACTAAAATATCTTTTTCAGTGAATAACGTCCCAATAATAAATAATTGAACATGAATAAAAGGAAAGTTTGAAACAATTATGCAATTCAAAGAGGCAACGATTTTCATAAAAATTTAATAAACTTTAAAAATAAAAGAATTTTATAAATTTTAAATAAAATCTTGAACTATTAAAATATCATATCAAGTATTATTATCACTTGATTGCGAGAAAGTAAATAAATAAAATAAATAATCATAAATAATTCACTAATTAAAAACCAATGAAATGTAAAATTATCAAATAATCAGATTCATATTACAGGGACTTATCAAAACAATTACCAAACGTGGACACAAAGTCCACAAGGGTAAATAACCAAACGCAGCTCTTGCCACAAAGACAAACGTAGACACACAATCCACAAGGGTAAGTAACCAAACGTAATCGAAGCTACGAAACAAACATGGACACATAGTCCACAAGAGTAATGCTAGCCAAACGTGACTTGAAGCCACAAAACAAACATGAGTACAATGCTCACGAGTAACTATCCCTCCGTTCCATGTGTGTTGGCCATTGCACGAGGCTAGCACCTACTATGAACACCCTGCTAGCTAGGTAAACCATGGCACACCAAGGGCTAACGGAATTGTCATTAGCAACAAGTATTCTGTATAAAGTCCCTTTTTAAAACTATTTTCAAACATGCAAGAAAATCATCACTTTCAAGATATTGTTCTCATTTTCAAAATCAAACTCGCATGAATACTTTTAAGTATTAAAACTTTCTAGAATCAAATTTCATATTCAATGCTCATGCTTGCATTTATTGAATAATAAAAAATTTCCAATGCTAATGAAAAGGATGTTTCCAACTGTACAATTAGAATTTTTTAACCTATCATATTTTATCCAACACTTTATTAATAACCATTCTATCCCCAAGAATTTAAAGTCACATACAAATTCATAATAATTAAATTCCTTTAATTTGTAACCTACAAGCAAAATTCATGGATCAATAACACTCAAACTAAATGTATCTATCACAATAACTAATCAAATTTCATAAATCTAAGATATTCAAGCAAAACTCTCACAGAGGCATTTTATCGAACACTTATCATCCATTAATTCTTAGATTAACACCAAACATCTTCCCTTTAAATCTCATTTCCTACAAATCACAAAATTGATATTGAACTCAATCAGCTAACCCAATTTCGATTCTTTAATAGAAAAAAATTCAATTAGACCTTAAGGAAAAATTTAATCTAATTCCTCTGGCATGAGTGAATTTATCTACCAAAAATCATGTTCTTAAACTCAAGCTTAATTTGATTATCCTTCTAACACGCATAACAGCTGCAATTTAAGGGGAGAAAATAAAAACCCATTTTCAGCCATATCACACAAATGCATGCACAAAATAGAAGAAAGATGCATCTTGACTTGCCACTAATGCAGTAAAGAAATGAAGAGAAGAAGTTGAACCTCCCTAACTCACATGTGATCACGACAGAGCAGAACAAAAGGAGGTTCTAGTCAAGTGAAAATGGAGAAAGTAGGACACAGAACGAAGGAGGAAGAAGATCTTAGAACATATACACAAACAGCACAGACGAGAGATAGTCCCATGGTAGTGCATTAACAGAGGAGGAGGAAGAAAAATTCAAGCATCACCGTCACATGAAAAGAAGACCGATGGATGAATAGAGGAGCAGATGAATTTGCGAGTTTGGCCTCGACAGTGGCAAATTCACGGTGATCACGAACACTGGTGATGGACTCAACTGCTAGCCTAGCTCTACTCGTGCAAGCTACTAGCGACTGCATAGGAGACAGAAAGGAACTATGGAGGAAAGAAGCCTGAGCAAGGAGCGAGTAGATCGACTTGAACAGCTTTCTTGCAGCAGCAAACTTTGGTGATTTGAACATAGCAGTTAAGGAGGAAGAAGAGGCAAAAACCAAGCACACTTCATCAACAGTGAGCAGAGATCGACAGGAACCAGAGACAGGGGAAATGAGAAGCAATCGTTTCATGACAGATTCTCAAAGGAGAAGAAACAAGCAAGCTCAGTGGTAGACATAAGACAGAAGAAAAGGAAAGATGCAAGCCAGCGATGGTGAGGGAAGAAATGAAGAATAACGCGAGGAGGAGATGAGTAGAGACTGAAAGAAAGATTTTTCTGACTCTCGATGGTTCTGGATTTTTCAAAAATGCTGAAGGAGAAGGGAAAATGATGAGGCGGTGCGTGCATATTAACCGAGAGAGAATATAAATATGAACTTTATGAAATTGCGAAAATTACAAAAGAGGGCCCAAAATTTCTTCTAATAACATAAAAGATACAAGTACTTTGGCAATTTTCCTATAATTTTAAACTAAATAAAATTAATTTATTACTAACAAAAATTAAAACTTTTGACCTTCAAGTAAGCTATTAGCAAAAGTTCCAGTAACTCACTCTTCCAATTTCCATAAAACTAATTTAAAGAAAACATAAATTAGGAGATTTTTTTTTTTGGTCATTACAATACCCTTACTTATTACATTTTTTGGGAAAAAATGATGCATTAAAATTTTAATAATTATTATGAAGACACTTATAAAGGATATATTTATTGATGGCATAATTGAAAAGACATAATTTTTTTAGAAATTAAGGTTTTATCTAACTTTTTTTCTTTAAAAAAATCATAAATTAGTTACTATTATCCTGTATTGTGGACAAACAGAATATCAAGCATTGAACACATTTTTTCTCCAGCATTTGGCTTTATCTTCTTTGTTTCTGGGGGTACCCGACTTGTATCTGATGTACTTTGCTTTGATTTGTTTTATTCTCTAACTTCTACTTCTTGTTGGGCTAAGTGAAGAGTACAAACCCTTAACCAAACTGAACTGCATCATATTCAGACTAATAACAAGTTTTACACATAAAATATGATTTCAATTTATATATCCTTAACCACAACACTTCTTCTCTAGAAATGAGAGGATTAATTTGTTCTTGTGCTAATTATTTGAGCGACATTTAAGCTCTCTTAAATTAAACAATAGGAGTTTAGTTGATGTGCGCACATATTCTTAATTGTGACACAGTTTTTTTATAAATAAAAATCATTGATAAATTATACTTGATCAGTACTTTTTTATAATAATACACGCGGCAAAAACTCCACAATCTGTTTGGTTTTCAGGCACACACAAGAGTTACAACACAAATAGAGCCTTTGTTCAAAGGCAAGTGAGATGCTTCATAAAGCAGAAACCCCACAATCACATTGTGTTTGACTTTCAAAAGCACACAAGAGTTACACTACAAACAAGATTTAGAAAGGCTTTTTTAACTAGTTTCAAAAGCCTTTTTCCCTACTAGTGACGCCCACGTGCACACATAATGCCAGGCGTCATGTTATTGTTGCACGTATTACTTCGAGCTGCTTCATATAGCCGAATCAAGCTTGAGAATGTTCTTGGTTGGGTAATAAGCGTAGCAATTGAAGTTGCATACACCAAAAGGATCACCAGTGTTTGTTTTGATGTAGATGTAACCATTGTCTCCCCAATCTTTACCCCATGAGTTCTTCACAATCCAATAATCATGACCAGGACCCAAAGAACCGTATCCCACGATCAGCATGGCATGATCAGTACACCAACGTTCAACGTTTGGGCAGCTATTCGCATCAAAGAGTCCCTGTCCATGTTCAAAGTATAAACTTTTAATGAAGAAATTAGTGCTGACGTGGATCAAGCCAAGTGGATCTCTCTCCTTGTTTTAAAGAAATTATTCCCTCTCCTCATTTATTTATTTGAGCTGTTTGTCTTCTATTTATTTATGACATATATGTGACTTAGCCCCTTGTAGTGTCGAAAGTCTATGGGATCGGCATACATATAAACACTAACAGGCTGTCTAGAAACAGCGCAAAGGAGACAAGGTTCGCATAAGGATTTCACTTTTCCATAGCCTTCAATAGCAAGGGCTACCTTCTTTTCCTGTCGGAAAAAGAAAAAAGGGAAAACAAGATAATCAGAGCGAGAAGAAGAAGAAGGTGTAATCCACGAAAATAAATGATAATGTTACAGACCTTTTGGTGATTGCAAGTACCATTAATAGCTTCGTAAGGATAATCTGACTCTGAGGCAATTCCACCATTTTTGATGACATATTCAAATGCTTTGTAGACCTGGCCTCCATTGCAGCCATGAGTATTAGGATCACATGACATAAGTTGTTGTTCAGAAACACTCACAAGAGTATTGTAGTCTATTTTATTCATTCCTTCAATGGCTTCCGTTGATGAAAACGCCCAGCAACTTCCTATAAACACGCATCAGCGTGCGCACACAAACAATTGGAATATTAAAATTGTAAAGTTGAAAACAAAGATGATTTGATTCCTCTCTACTAAAATGACATGAAACAAGAATAAGAACGAGTTATAGTGATAATATCCCGCGCGATAATATAGCCATTGCACCAAATCCAAATCCATAAAAAGTTATTTACATTATAAAAAGAAACCAATTATTAACACTTACCACAATTTTTTTGGTCTTTGACGTCAGTCACTGCTCCAAAGTCCCACCAATCCAAGGAAAGAGGTGCATTTGGACAGTGATCGCTGTTGGGCTCACCAATGTTGCCTCCCTCTGTGTGCTCCATCTCAATCAAGTAGGTTTCTTTGAATTCATCCAATGTCAAATCTGAGAATTTGTTCAAACCCAAACGATAGTCGTAGACTGAAGTTCTTTTCGCATTTTCCTCCTTGATATACTTCACACTGCTTTTGAAGATCTCAAATCTCTTTGACTTCTCGTCTAGGGTTTTATGTTCTCGTTTGTGTTCCTTCTGCCACAGTTGGAATAGCTCAAAGAGCTCTTCCTCAGAGGTGAACTTGTCTAGATCATCGTCGTAATTCAGAATCGAAAACTCACTGGGAAGACTAAAAGAGAGACATATCATTGAAAAGGAGAAGAAGAAAAGAAAGAGAGACTTAGAGAGAGTAAGAGAAGCCATTATTGTTTTCTAAATAAGCAATCAAGTGATGGACTTGGTATTTTCGCTTAGGTTATGTCCAGTATTTATAGAGCTTAGCGTGAGGGTAATGAAAATGAGAAAAGTAAAAAAAAAAAAAAAGGCTTGGTCTTAGTGGAAAGGATTATGTTATGCAAAACAGGAAAGAGAAAAGGGGAAGAGAGAGAAAGAGAAAAGAGGAGGGGAGAGAAGGAAGGAAAATATCAAAATCCTCATAAACTCTTATTCAATAATAGTCAAAAGTTGATTCTAAATGAAAATCCTAACTCTATTTATAGAGTTTTAAAATGATAAAATAATAAATCTAAATGTAAATCCTAAATCTAATTTTAAATGATACTGATAAAATGATAATATCCTGTCTTATTAAATATAAATAAATCTAAGATACCAATAAAATAAAATAATGAATCCTAGTATATATAAAGCTTAGTGTGAGAGCAATGAAAATGAGAAACGAAAAAAAAAGAAGAGGCTTGGTCTTAGTGGAAAGGATTATGTGATGTAAAAAATATAACAATATTCTATCATTTTTCCCTCGCTTGAAGAACTCATCTCTAGATGAGTTAAAATTAAAGCACAAATTAGTCAAGGAGGGAGAGGAGGGATAAAATTTCATCCACGTGTATAGATTTAGAAATTCATTCCAACAAGTGAGTTAGCGATGAATTGCATCATGTGGAGGACCACATTAATTATTTGGAATTTTGAAAAAACTTTCCAACAAACAAGATATTGTTGAAGCTTCCTATTAGGTGACAGGACATTCTTGGTAGGTACAATTTGTAGACAAGGTGAATCTATATTAAGTCGAGGTTGGTTCTGCCTAATCACAACTTGGGAAGGTACCAATTGTATAGCAAGTAGAGGAATTGTTGTTGGAACTTCCAATGGAGCCTGTGGAGGTAAAGGTGCTAGAGTGGACAAACCACTCTCATGATTAGGCTTCACATGAGTTATATTACACTCCTTTGATTTTAGGATAGGAGTGTCAACATCTATATGCTCATTAGCTAGATTTTGGTTCATCAGCGACTCTGTAATCTATTGAAACATCTTTATTGTTCTAATTAAATAGGCATCTTCTTGAATTTGGCGTGCACATTCTCAAATTTGACATTCTAATTCAGCATTGGATTCATCATTGCAGCGTTTGACCTTAGTTATTCACCTTTCAAATTCAGAGCTAAAACTTCCATGCTCATCAATCTGCTGTGTATATTCAGCTGTATGACATGCTTCATATCTACACTATTGGTCATATGCATACCAGTAATGGCATTGTTCTTTGATTTTTTTCCTTTGGTAGCCTTTGTGATATTGTGTATGTCCAACATATCGAGGTAGGGTGCCATAATAATTTTGGCACTCCCTGTATGGGCATGCACGAAAATATGCCATATAAAATCATGAATATATGGATTGAAATTACCTTTCAAATATTTTATGTAATGATTTATGGCTTTAGGGAAGGTCTAGGTTATTTTATGGATCTCAACCAACATAGGGAAGGAAGGTGGCACTAGGTTTTGGTACCAAATTGATGTAAAATGGGAAAGAAAAAAGGGGAAGAGAGATAAAGAGAAAAGAGGGGAGAGAGAAGGAGGAAGAATACTGAAACTCTTGAAAACTCTTATTCAATAATATGCAAAGCTAATTACAAATGAAAACCCTAACTCTATTTATATAGTTCTAAAATAATAACATAATAAATTTAAATCTAAATTCTTAATCTAATTTAAAGAGATACTAATAGGATGATAATATCCTATCTTATTAAATATAAATAAATCTAAGATAACAATAAAATAAAATAATAAATCTTAATTCTAATAGATAAATATCCTTATTTGAATATCCTTAATGGATAATTCTAATATCTTAAAAAAACCTAATTATTCTAATTAACCATTATTCCTTATTCCATCATAATGGTTGTTTAAGCATGAAGTCTTGACTTCAAGTCTATGTTAATACACAAAGCGCCTTAGAAAGAGTTACCTCTAATTAGGCTTAACAATACTTAAATCTGACCCAATTGAGATAGCCATATAAAAAATGTGAAAAAATTATTCTTAATTAAGAAAGTGGAAACCCATAATTAAAATGTTTTGTATGCATCATATAATTGTGACCAAAGTATCTTGTTGGGATCAGAATATTGTACGTACAATATCCGAATGGCCATATATTGTGACTTCATATCTGTGGTGACTTTACGTGCATGCATGGGAATAAAGACAGTGTCAAGCAGGTACTTGCACGCACCAAGTTAAAGAATCTTTCGTTTCCATTCTGAACTGTCCTTGTGACTTCATATAGGTGGAGTTGATTTAATTAGCTGTTTATTATTAGCTATCTTCCAAAAATGGACCATCTAAATAAAACCAAATGATGAGGAAGTTAATATTCTTCAGGACACAAATATGATCATGAACTCATGGTTAATATATAACAATAATTTATTTTATTGTGAGAACTTGTAGTTGCTAAAGTATATTTAACCATAGTCTTTTATTGATTAATTAAAATTTAATTCGGACTTAATTTTTCCATGAACTCTATGATTTTTTTAGGGAAAAATTGAAAATCTTTTATACCTCGCGATAAAGTCTATACTTTGTAAAGCAACTTTTTTTCCATTGTAATTATAAATTTGTACTCTTTATTTGCTTAATGTATAGGTGAAATATCTTCAACATAGGTCTTTGATTAGTGGCCAAGGCTTCCAAAATATTCTTAATTACTATTATTTTATGGCCTTCTAACTTCAGTTGGTCATGGGCATCAAAAATTACATTTTTAGTGCAAACATAAAGATTATTGCATTTTGATAAATAATCCATTAGTTTATAATGGGGAGAATGACAAAAAGAATACCCTTGAAATATTCAAATAATAAAAAAGTACCAAAATGTGATAATTATTATGTAGTTTTCAAAGACTTAATTGTTTGGCATATTGATTTTTTTATGAAATGAAAAGTTTGCCCCCAATTTAAAATTTGAAATGAAAAATATGGAGGATAGTGACTACCTTGTTAGGTTTTAGTCACTTTCCTAAAAAAAGTTGTCATTCTCTTTTTTTAAGTTGTTAATGTCCTCCATGTATATGTTGCATTTTGCTGATGAAAAAATGGAAGAAAAGATGTAAATTTAATGAGTATAATTGGAAAGTTGTAAATTTTTTAGAAATTAAAGGTCCACTTAATTATTTTTTTAGAACTATGAATTAATTATCAATATCCTGGTTCACAAATAATATCAAGCATGCATGGAGCACGTTTTACTCCAGCATTTGAAATTATCTTATTGGTTCCTGGGGGACATATACCAACTTTCATGTGACGTGCTTCCTTTGATTTGTTGGTTTATTCTTTAACTTCTAGCTACCAACTTATATCTGATGTGCTTTCCTTTGTTTTGTTTTATTCTCTAACTTCTGCTTCTTGTTGGGCTAAGTGAAGAATAAACCAATTCTAGGAGAAATCTTATTGACTGAATAAAACTAAACAAGATCATACTTAGACTAATAAGTAACGACAGGTTGTACACTTACACACACAAACATGTATTATAGAAAGAATCACATCCAAGGATCACTCAAACAAATTATTCACATACAAAAACTAACAATAAAACTGATTTAAGAAAAAACAAGTCATGTTCCTGTTTTTAACAACAATCTATTTCATATTGCCCCTTGTATGTGAATAATTTTATTAAAATTGTGATCTCCCTATATTATATGTATACCCAGCGAAAGGAAATAACAAGAATTTAACAAGAACTAGCTTAGCCTAATAACAAATATGACCCAGTACACATTTATCTGCCCCATTTATAAATAAACTTAAAAGTTCGAAGCTTAGATTGCTGAGCGATCTTTCACGATCCTTTCTTCCTAACTAAGTGAGAGAATTTGTCATTTGCTAATCTTAAGTAGTCAATGTCCTCCATATATATATATATATGTTGCATTTCGCTTATGAAAAAACGTCAATTTTTTAAGAGATTGAAGTTTCACTTAACTTTTTCTTAGAACTATAAATTAATTACCAATAATATCCAATAATGTGGCCTAGAGAGAATATCAAGCATGGAGCACGTTTTTCTCCAGCATTTGGCATTATTTTGTTCGTTTCTGCGGATACCAACTTGTCTCTGACTTGCTTTCCTTTGATATCATCAAGTAGTTTAATAGTTCCTATATGTGTCACATCCATTTTTAAACCATTTGGAATTCTTATGCGTAAAAGAACCCCATTATATTATGTAAAGGTATCAAAGTGTGCAAGACTACTAACAACGTGACTGGTAGCACCAAAGTCAAGAAACCATACAGGGAAAGATTTAGATTCGAAAGATAAGATGGTTTCTTCCAAACTTGATGACCCATTTGGGTCAATGACCTCTGCTGCTCCAACAGGCACATTTTTTACTTCCTTCTTCAAAATCTTGAGAATTCATTCATAGCCGTGTTGTGATTGTAGTTGATCATCAGCTTGCATACTTGATTTCTAAGTTGTAGTATTGAAGGAATCCATTTGCACTTGACTGATTTGCTTCTCTAGGGAACCTTTGTTTCATCCCCCTTGGAATTGAGATGGGAACCTAATCAGATGATAGCATTGGTCATGTGTATGACCCTTTCTGTGGCAATTCGAACATTCAACAGATAAACTTCTATGACCTCTTCCATTATGCATAGCACCTCATCCTCGAGCCATCATTGTTGCATTATCTTGAGGGATTTGAGATGACACCGAAGAGAGATCTCATTATGCCTCTTCTTAACCAATCATGGAATAAGCTGGATTAATAGAAGGCAAGGGAGACACAAGGAGAAACTGATTGTGGACAGAGTGGTATGAATCATTTAATCCGAGTAGAAATTGTAAAAGATTTTGCTTGTGAACAATCTTCCCCTATTCAGCTGACGACGAAGCACAATTGCA